TCGGATCTAGGCTTTCTAATTAAACATGCTTTGAATCCAAGACTTCTAATGGCTAATTAGGTTAAATAACAACATTGAAATAGATCTAGAATCATACCTTTGGATTCCTTGTTGATCTTGTTGTCTTGGAGCTTCTAGAGTCACAAATGTCACTCCTCTAATGGCTTACAAACACCAATAGCAAGCAAGATGATTTAGGAGAGAGGAGAGGGGAGGAATTCGGCCAGAGTATCTCTACTTTAGATGGTGTGTCGAATTCCCTCACCCCTAGGGTCTATTTATACTTGTAGACTCCTTAAGGGTTACAACCTAAACCCTAATTGGATAACTTAGACTTTAAGTTGATCCATATCCTTTCCTTGATAACCCTATGGACGATTTTGGCTTATCCAAGCCCTAGAAATCGTCCATCCTATCTAGGATAAGAATTTATAGTCTAAAGTGTAACTATCAAACAATTGACAGTTTATACCCTCTTATTTAATTAATCTCTTTAAGCCACCAAATTAATTCCAATTAGTTTATGACTTATATTAATCAAATAACCATATATTATTCCTTATAATATTTACTCTCTTTTAACAAATCATCCATCAAGTTGCTATGGTGAAGGCAACCCAAAAGGACCATGCACAACCGGATCAAATACTTACCTATTATAGTTGCAGCCTTAGACACTATTCCAACAGTTATGTGGTAGTAGTAAGGGTGAAATAGATCGAAGGGGTTTGCAAGCACCCATATATGCTTGACAATATCCGGTTGAAATAGACTGAATGGGATTGCAAGCACCCATATATGCTTGATGGTATCCAGTTGAAATAGACAGAAGGGGTAGAAAAGCACCTAGATATGCTTGGTTGTATGTATATTTAATATGTGGTATTTTGGGGGAAATCACTAAGCTTTGTACTTACAGTTTTTAGTTTATGTTTCAGGTACTTCCAGTTCGAAGACGAATTGCCTGACCAGATCGCACCACATCACCCTATGGTTTTCTACATTTAGAGATTTTGGGAATTTTTATTCTGATAACATGTTACTATGATACTCTTTTGACTATTTTGATATTAGTATCGTATGATCTGAATGAATTTAAAAACAAAATTTTATTCATATTTTTGGATTGTTACACATGCATGTATAATGCATGTTCCAAACACAAACTAGGGCACAAAAGGAAGAAATTATATTAGAAACTCATGCAAGATCCTCAAAACCCAACCATACTTCAGATCCCACTCTTATTTCATCAGAAGGACATTGAAGATCCATAAAGTTGGCAACTTAATGGATTCCCAACACTATATCATTCTATACATGAAAGATAATGCATAAAAACCTAGATCTATGCTTATAGACTCATAAAACATTAAACTTGAAAACTCACAAAAGTCAGAAGGTGTGAAAATGAATGATGGTGATGCTTGAATGCTAAGATGATGATGCTCTTCCTCTTCTTCTTTGCTAGAATCAACACAATTGGGATCAAAATCAACTACGGGGTGCTAGGGTTTCAAAAGAGAGTATTATGAGGTGATGAGGGTAGGCTAAACTAACCCTCACTTCCTTTCAACATGAAAAACAGGTGAACATCTAACTAATCTAGTCACATTTGATTTATTATCAAATTTTATCGTCTTCCTCGTTAGCTTCTTTATAGAGGTTTCCAATATATTTGTCGGTAAAAAAATCTAATTTTGTCGTCGTTATATTTCATACTATTATATTACATTAAATTAATCGATATCATCTGGTGTTGTTGAGTCAATTCACGCACTTGAGTGGTCCCTAGCTTTGAGGGGTGAGTGCCATAATTGACGATAAATCTAGATATATATGAATAATAATAGAATGTGTAACCTTTAAATTCTATAGAAAAAGAATTGTCGATATTTGCATTACAACCCATTAAATTTTCAAATAAAACTAATAAATCCCTCTTCTTCACAAACTGTACAAGTCGCATGACAAACCTTTCCCGTTTCCACCAACATTGGTGGTGTTTGAGATTGCTTATTTAAAACAATTTATGTTTATTTAATTAATCGGTGTCAAAACGAAGTTTAAAAAATCATTTGAATTAATTTATCCGGTATCAAAACATAATAAGTTAATAAATTGTTTTTTAATGTTTGACAAATCATGTATATTCACATAAAGTGACCAAAACTAACATCTTAAATACATGTATATGCATAGGATTATGGTAAGGTTAGTATGATAATTTGGTTTAAATAAGTTATATGTTGTTTTAGATAAGTAAGAAGGTTTCATTTATGAAAAACTCTTTATTCAAGTCATTAAAGATTTTTGTTTTTGCTATATCCAAACACTAAAAAATGCTTATTAACGGTGCCAAGTCTCAATAAAGCTAATAAGCAATTTAAATAAACAATCTCAAACAGCCCATAATGTAACTTTTTGCGTAACGTATTTGTCTAAATTAATCAGTTATGACAACAGACTTGAATTTTATGCACCTAATTTTGTATATGTAAAGGTCATTGCAAGAAAAATATAAAATGGATTTGTAAGCCAATTCATGTTATTTGAATTTTAACGAGGCATGACTCAATTTTGTTTTATAGAGCAGTGACACATTTACTTGCTTCATTAATTTTTGAACAATTATCAAAGTTTATATCCTTATTTTCATGCTCACTTTCACAAAAAAATCAAACTATTCCACGGGCTTTTTGTTTATTGAGATTAATGGTCACTTAAATCCACAAACCTAAGTAGCATTCAAGCTACACAAGGGGCCACGACATGTGGGCCTAGACATGCTTGTCCCAACTTGCGAGTAGGCATCAATAGACTAAGCTTGATCAACGGGCCCATCAAGCTTCGAACAAGCTCCTTTTTCGTAGGTGTGCCTTAGCCTCAACGAAGCTTTTTGCGGGCTTGCTTGGGCTATATCTGGACCGATTCGAAGCTTTTCAGTTATAGCTTCATTTTTAGCATTGAAATACATGAGTCTGATGCAATTAACATAAAATACTTGAAAACAATAAAAATAAATGAAAGTAGGACACTACAAATAACAATATACATTAATATATTTGTGCATTATAAACATCAAACTCTAATTTCTTTCGGTTACATGTATTTGAACATTTTCGAGATATTAAATATCCTCCTACTAAATGTTCCTGCTTATCCTCCTACTCACACGATCATCACAAGTATCAAAATAAAATGATGAGATGATGAAAGAGATTTAATGTTTTACACATGACAATCATTAAATTGGTATGAAGATAAAGTAGGAAACAATTTAATTTCCTTATAAAAAAACAGGTAGGGTGCTATATAAATAAATTAACTATGATGATACATAAACTTATGGAAAAAGTAAAAATAATATACGAACCAAGTGGGGTTTTAGTCTCGAGGAAGCGTTGACAAGGTCCGCATGCCTTAATATTCAAAATTTTAAGGGGTGTATGTTGGTTGTGTTAGACTGGCCTTCAACGGACTTTTATTGACTAGGCTTTGACCAGGTTGGACTTTCGGGCCAACATGATGAATTTTTGTGCAATTCTAAGGGTGTGTTTGACAAATTAGCTGGTAGCTGATAACGGGTAACTGGTAACTGATAACATTTTGTTAAATGTTATGGGGTAACTTTTGGATTTGGAGCGTTTTTTTTAAACTAAACGCTAGAAGTTTGTAGTGTCATACGAGACTTTATATTTAAAACGAAGAGTTTTGTTAAACGCTAGAAGCTAGGAGCTCTTAAACGTTCCATACCGAACACGCCCTAAATATAATGATTAATTTTCAACCATGTTGCCAAGTATTGTCGAAGTGCTATTGAATGTATCTGAATATTCAAGAAATTTTGAAATTCCTAACTGTAAACATGTTGCATCTAAATAAATATTTTGGCAAAGCAAGTTAAACCTCGAATACATATGGCTCGATATCTTCACCGTCATTCAAACCCTTGAAGCAAAATATAGACATTTTAATTTTGATGAGCGTTGTAATCAAATTCTTTAAACCCTTGAAGCAAAATATTAACACTATGTGTATTAGGCAACGTTCTAAAAAGCTCGTCATTGCGCGCCACGACTCCAAGGCTTGTACCTACCACCAAACTTTGTTAAAACGCCGCTTTAACTAATATATTTGTATAAAAATGAATAATAGTTGAAAATACATATAAAAATATTAATTATATAGAAAATTATCGCCTTAACTCACGCCTTACAAACGTCGTGATTCGCCAAGGCTCGGAAAAGCTTGAGGCTTGGTATTGCCGTAAAGTCACGCCTTACGTTATTTAGAACCTTAGTATTAGTTAATTTTGATGAACGTTGTAACCAAATTCTTTAAACCCTTGAAGCAAAATATTAGCACAATGTGTATTAGGTTAATTTTGATGAACGTTGTAACCAAATTCTTTAAAGGAACATTTTAATATCAAATTGAGCTTGTCACTACAAAGTTCTTCATGAGTAATTAAAAGGTTATGCATTTAAATCATGTCATTCGAAATGTTCATTAAATTACCACGAGTAAGATCAAATAACAAAAAAAGGGATTGCTTTGATTTCAAGAAAATTGAAGGGGTTGAACGACTATTCCCTGTAAGTACACGAAATCTACGTACTCATTAAACTAACCCTAGATTTTCGCCTAATTAGGAATAAGAGTGGCTACAACAATTTCTCTAAGAGAGCCAAAGGATCCCTAATTATGCCCTAATATGTATATCTGAGTCAGCGAGTAACTGTGGATACGTAGTTTAATAGTTATATGCCTTTTTTTTTCGCAATAAATTACTCTAAAATGTCCGATCTTTCTCTCTCTTCCCATCTCTGATCTGTTGATTAAGAAAAAAAAAAACATTATCGTCATTTGTCGGTTTTCTCTGTCAGAATCTCCTTTATTTCTTAAATTTATGACCTTTCAATTTTCATTTGGGCTCTGTGAGGAACAAAATCCCTATCGATTTAGACTGTAAACCGTAAAGGGATTGTGAGTGAAGGGGGAAAATGAAGCAAAATTGGTGGAGGTCAGCTTACAAGCAGAATCACTTGGTTTTCAAGTTAGGGATTTCGATTTTGTTCGTGGGTTTTGGATTCAGACTTCTTTTCTCACAATCACCCAGTGTGATCCCTGATGTTTCTGATAATAATACTGATACCCCTGTTGCGGAGAAGAATGTGAAGCCGATTCCTTTAGATGTTTCTGAATCTCCCAAAATAGAATTGAATCATATTCGTCCCAAAGGTATCCATGATTGTATTTTAACTAACCTTTTTTTGTTCTTGTACTGTCGGTCTAGATTTGAACTTTTTGCAGTTTTGATCTGCATTTACTTGTGTTCCTGAAATAGAAACGGACTAAAACTTGTGGGTTCTACTATTCACCCAATAATGCCACGCCCAGAATAAATCTCGATGCATCTGTTCAACCATATTCGTACATTAACTTTGCAAAATTACTTTTTTGGAACTGAATTCGTTTCTTGGAAATTGTTGTGAAGAAGATGGATCAGAAAAGTGTGATATTTTGGATGGTGAATGGGTACCATATTCCGGCGGAGCACCATACACCAATAACACCTGCAGATGGATCGAAAGTCATCAAAACTGTATGGGAAATGGTAGGCCGGATACAGGGTACATTAATTGGAGGTGGAGCCCTAAATCTTGCGAATTACCTCGTTTTGATGCGAAGAAATTTCTGGAAACGATGAGGGATAAATCGTGGGCTTTTGTTGGCGACTCAATAACTCGGAATCATCTTCAATCCTTCATCTGTCTTCTATCTGAGGTACGACTTTCTGTGGTGCGTTTCTTGATGTTTAGCTTCCAAATCCAGAAATATTTATCTGTATCTTGTCTCCTCTAGGTAGAAGATGCTGTTGAGCTTTTCCATGATAAAGATTACAAGAACAGAAAATGGCAATTTCCATCCTACAACCTTACAGTCTCGGTTATTTGGTCTCCTTTTTTAGCAAAAGCAGACATTTTTGAAGACATCGATGGTGTTTCATCTTCAGAAATAGAACTCCATATTGACATTCTTGACAAAACTTGGACTGAACAATTTCACACATGGGATTACGTGTTGTTCTCCTCTGGTAAATGGTTTATCAAAACAGCAATCTACTTTGAAGAAAACACAATTTTAGGTTGCCATGGTTGTGAAGGAAAGAACTTCACTGATCTTGGTTTCAATTTTGCTTATCGAAAAATCGTAAAGAATTTATATGATTTCATTATGAATTCAAACAAACAAAGTACGATTATTTTCAGAACATCAACCCCAGATCACTTTGAAAATGGGTCATGGTCAACGGGTGGGACCTGTGATAGAAGGGTTCCAGCTAAAGAAGGTGAGTTTGAGTTGAACGATTTGAACATAAACCTACGAGAGATTGAACTGCCTGAATTTGAAAAAGCAGAAGCTCAAGCTTCTGAAAAAGGGAAGAAATTGAAGCTTCTTGATGTGATGCCTCTTTCATTGGTGAGACCAGATGGGCATCCAGGTCCATATAGACATTTTTACCCTTTTGCAAAAGATAAGAAAGCTAAAGTTCAGTATGATTGTTTGCATTGGTGTTTGCCTGGGCCAATTGATCAGTGGAATGATTTGTTGATGAAGTTAGTGGTAGATGATTGATGTAATGCCTTGTGAATAGTGTTGAGAACTCTATTGGTATCCACTTTGAGGTTTTTGAACCTCTTATAACTTTATAAGTATATGTTGTTTTCCACCAATTCTTAGGGTTTAGAGGTGTATTATTATTCCTTGTTGTTTTTTAATAGGGAAATCTTAAATTGTTGTAGATTGAACAGACTTATGCTTGTATAATATGGGCTTAATGGAGTATTTGTGATGTTTCTCATTCGTCTGTTTCATTTTCTCTGTCTTATGAATCCCGTTCTTGGGTTGAGTATGTTTGGTTTTTGCCTAAAACAAAAATCGAATAGAAAGAATCAAGTTTCTAGCTGTCAGCAACTATCAACAACCTTTGTGTTTGTTTGGGTTTGGGTTCAAACGTAAGTCATAGATTCCCTTTCTAATTTTGTTTTTTCCATGTAACTTGGTTAAAATCTATCTACCAATTTAATCGATGAAGGTGTTAGTATATTGCTAATGTGGCATCTCATTGTACATCTTAATAATAATCGTAAAATAATACGAAAAAAATATTGTTGGTAATTTTAGTATCATATGCATTTCGGGTAGTTGGAAACTTGGAATTGTAAAAGTGTCAAATGAGATTCTAGACTATGATTATATAAGAGTCATGCACTGTAAAGTGTACATTTATATAATGTTAGTTTGACATGGATCAGTTAATGAAGGTCAGTTGTTAAGGTCACTCTCCTTAAATCTAGGGACAACACCCTTAAAGGGTTAGACAGTAAAGGCCCTTGTAGTAGTACAAGATAAATGGAGTTTATACACAAGTGTAGTTGAAAAGATTGGATAGAAATTATCATACTTATATAAGTCATTAATTTGGTACATGCTACTAAGGTTAGTCGTTGATTGAGTCAACTACCCTAGCTAATGCTAAGGGGTCACATGTTGCCGGGGTTCATCGTATAATTTTATCGTTAATTGTTAGACTTACATACCTATAACATGCTCGTGAAGTAATATTGTTGAAATAGATGTTGGAAAAGGGGGTTGGTGTTTAATTGGTGGGCCTTTGTAACACATTCACGAACCCACGAGTGGATGAATCGAAATATGGGTATGGTTGAAGTGTTGTGTTTAACACGTGCAAACTGATAGATTATGTTGTAAAAATCTCGATAAGTCTCAGAGTAGTCCCTAGTCGATTCCTGATGGACTAGAAGGCTCCTAACGATTAATCAATGTTTAGAAAAGGAATGAATATGTAGAAGCCGATGATTTTTTTTTTTGAAAGAGAACTTCCCTAACGAGGGTTTTCGGGCCCACTTTCACGCAACGACTAATCCCCCGCTGCAAATATGAGGTTGTGCCTCATGCTTTGAAGTCACTGCAAGCGAACCTCCCTGGCCACAAGGGCCGAGTAGTGTCAGAATTTGAATATGGGTCAATATGTTATCCACCATATCTTCCACATATCTCACCAAGTCACCACAATCCAAGTGGTTCGATGAATGTTAACAATTTTAAGAAGTTCTATATCAATAAAAACTATTTAAAGAATGATTAGTTGTGTATTAATCATATTAACCTATTTTGTTATGAAATTAGTGACATTTACCAACTTTTTTATGATATTAGTCATATTTAATTTTTTCAAATCTAATGAATTTACAACTTAGAGTCTCTGACTAGTTGCTGATTAATATCCGACTATACCGATTAATCTCTAGGTGGTAGTCGACCGACTTAGTACCGTTTAGTGACTTTTACAATTTTGTCAATAGGTGAATCGAAATTTGGTGTGTTTGTTTTTTCGCCATGATTTGATTTTATTTGAATGATAAATAATTGATAATATAGAAAGAAAGGATTGATGGTTGTAGTGTGGAAATGTGTATATAGTTGGTTAGTATATAACTATTTATAGGTAAAAATTGATTTTTTTTT